AGATGGTTGCCGAAGGAAATTCCCCGGGTGAGGCGCTCGAGCAGCGGCTAGCGAAACCGAGCTTTTCTGAAACCAAACGATGATCCTTCCTCACCTCTCCCGTCCGCCTTCGAGGTGTTGAACCGCTACATCCCTACGGCTGCGGCGTTCGGAGGCCGGCGATGGCCCCCCCCGGGGCAGGAGAGTTCAGCAGGAAGCATCACTTGGGTCTCAGGCGTCGCGAGAACATGTCGTTGGGCAACGTGCTTGTTTTCATGTGTGTATACGCATAGATATATGTGTGTTTGTGCGTGTGTTCATAAATGTGCATATATGTATGTACATATACATTCATGCGCGTGCTAATATTTGTGCGCATGTTTATATGTTTATCTCTCTCTCTCTCTCTCTCCCTCTATCCCTCGCTTTCTCGTTCGTTTCTTTTTCTGCTCTCTCTCTCTCTCTCCTCTCTTCGCTCCTCTCTCTCTCTCTATCTTCGTGCTCTCTCCGTCTTTCCGTCTCTTCTGCTGTGCGTCTGCGTAGCACCCCGCAGTTGCGGTTAAGAGTGGGGGGACGGGCGCAGGCTGGGATGCTGGGTGACGGGCGCAGGCTGGGATGCTGGGTGGGTCGCCGGGGCTGGGTGGGCCGAGGCGGGGGCGGCGCGGGTGAGGAGGACGGCAACAACAAGCCACAGCAGCAGACAACCAACAAGCAGAATACACGCCGCATGATCTCGCTTCAGCCACGCACCCAGGGACAGTGAATGACTTTTCGGCCCCCTCGGTCTGAAGTTTATGCTGATTTGTCCACGTGCGAGCATATTTTCACATATCTACATACGCGAATGTATCTATAGATGTTGATTTGGGAGTGTTGGGCCAGTCCGCTGGCCCGGGGGCCATAGAAAGAAGCCCCAGCCTCGGGCGTGGGCTGGATAACCGGGGATCCCCTTCTCCATGAGCGCATCACAATGTACATTGTGATGCGCTCATTAATGTTGGTCCTATTTTTTATGGTCTGATTGCTGTCAGAAGGAGAGCGTTTCTGTAATCCCTGGCGATCACGGGCGTGACTGGAGAGGGGAAGAGGGGGAGGAGTGGTGGCCGGTCACGTCATGATTCGCGCTGGCTGCGAATGCCTAAGGATGCCTCATTCCCAGACGGCGCTGTCGCGAAGCGTGACGCGACCAAGGGGGGGAGGGGGGAGGTGCCGGGGCTGGCCACGGGCTCAAGGAGGCAGGTTCCCAGTTTTTTCCTCGGAGGCACAGCGCGTTGCAGCTCAATCGATGTGTCATTCAGCTTCGCATGCTGCCTCGTGTGATGCTCAAGCCAGCATGCGCTCCGCTTACAATCCATACGTTCTGTTGTGCCGAGCCTGCAGCCAGGATGCCCTTCGGGTGATATCCCTCTTCTTCCAACGCAACCGGGTCTTACTGGTAAGCCCCGCCATCGTGCAGCAGCGCAGCAGCGCTGCTGCGTAGCAGCGCTGCTGGAGGGCGGTTGAGTCTAAGACCCGTTCAGTTCGACGCCCTGACTGAATTGGGCCGGGTCATTTCTTTTTCCTCCTCGTGCCTCCTCCTCTCTCATGCATCTTCACTCTGGAAGGCATTCAGCAGTTTTTTTGTTAGGTTTCTTTGATGCTTGTTGGTGGCCTCCTGGGGTTCTCGGGGTCGTCTTTTGCTCGACGGTTCTTCGAGCTCGAGGAGGCTCGGTTGAAGTATCATGGTGGTGGACAGGCAGGGGTTGGGGCCATGATGGAGCACTCTTGGGCCGGAGTTCCTGTTCTTCCGTTATTGTTTGGGATCGAGTTCTCATTTCTGAATGCTAATGATTGTTGATTCCCCCTCCGGGGCACATTTTGCTTTTTCAATTGAAGTACCCTTCCCGGAGTTCGCACCTTGTTTTGTATCACGGAGAGTCTTGGGTCTCAGAAGTGGGTTGTTGACACCCGGTTTACAACAACAACAACAACACCTTGTTTACAATACAGTTTATCCCGACGTCGCGCTCTCACGCGGGACATCCTCATACATTCTTCAGAAATGCGCGCTCGCGTTGGAGTGGGACTTCATCGAAGTTCATTCAGACGCCGCGCACTCGACATTCAGAAGTCACGCTTTCGCTGTATCTCCTCACGATGCATTTGGGAGTCTAGCTGTCGCTCGAGACTTTCTCGCGCTTCATGCAGGACGCACGCTTGAGCAAAGCACCTGCTCGACCTGGCCGCCTTGGCCCGCCTTCCCGACCCGCCCGTAAGGGTCTAACCGCCCGATCTGCCCGTTATGTTCTGCCGCGTGCTTTCTGCTTCTAGCCCTTCTCTTGCTATTTTCTCTCGTGCTGCACCCTCCTCCCTCCCCCTTGTCTCTTCCTTCCATCCGTCCTTTCTTCCCCTGCCTCAGGGGCTGCACGAAATACACGTTGCAGGCAAGAAAGATATACCCCTAAGGGGGTACGATCGATGACGAAGAGGGCTGGTATCGAGGGTTTGGGATATACGTGGCGAATGGCACGCGGGCGAAGAAGAGCGAACAGTATGACAATTATAGTCATTGCTGATGTTGTAAACCATTCATTTCTAAATAATGAATCGTGGTGATCTTCTGGCCTTGTGGGGGCCTCTTGATGGAGTCTTTGGGGCGTCTCGGGGGCCGCTTGGGGGCACATCGAGGGCTTCAGGGTGGGCAAAATTTAGGGGAAAAGGCTCTAGAGGCGTCTCCAAGAGCACTCCCAACAGGGTCCCAGGAGGCAGAACTCATTGATGTTCCCCAGGTTTTCGATGGATGTTCGCGTTTCTACCTTTTCGGCTCCCCGACGCTCCAAGACGGTCCCGGAGGCCCCAAATATCGCCCCAACATGGCCCCAGAGGCCTCCATTCCCATCCTGGCCCTTCCTGCTCCATCTGCAGGCGCAGTGGCTGTGCCCCTCCAGGCCTGCAGCTGCCCTGACCTGCTCTCTCTGGCCCCCTCGCCTAAGCGCAGTTTCTTCCAGTGGCCTCCAGCAGGAGCGCCGCTCCCGTTGCTAAAGTACAGCAAAGCGGCGTCGTGCGTCTGACAGTTTCGCTCGTCATCTCCGAAATTCGGACCCTTGATTAAGATGCAGGCGGCTCTGTCAGTCGCCCTTCCGCTCGTCGGCCATGGGGCGGCCCAACAGGCGGGGAGGAAGTTTCAGAGCTGATGGCAGCATGTGCGTGTACACAAAAAATTGCCTCAGAGGCCCCCAAGATGGCACCGAGACGGCCCAAGCGGCCCAAGCGCCCTTCGCGTTCCCCATCTTCGGCCCCACGTCGGGCCTGCTTGAGGGTCTCTTGGGCCATCTTGGGGCCCTCTTGGGCCGTCTTGTGGCCCTCGTGGGCAGTTGTTCTGCCCTCTTGGGGGCCGCTTAGGCCGCCTCGGGGCGATCTCGGGGGCTTCCTGGGCTGCCTTGGAGCGTTGACAGCCCTAGAGAGGCGAGAGCGCTAAAATCTGTTAAAGCCTTCAGGGGATCGATGATTTTGGCCTCCTGGAGTTCTCTTGGGGGTCAACTTGGTTCTCTCTTGGGGCGTCTCAGGGGCGTTTCAGGCCGTCTTGAAGCCATCGTGGCTGTTTTGGATCGCCTGGCCATATCGGAACCCTCTTGAACCGTCTCGGGGCCCTCTGGGGGCCCTCTGGACCGTCCTTGGGCCCTCTTGGGCCCTCTCGGGGCAATCTTGGGCCGTTTCGTATGTTCAGTCTGGGAGGTCCACGAGGGATTGTCGGCAGCGTGCAGGGAGGCGGCACAGCCACTCATCACAAGTTACTTGTACGGTAGATGACGAACCAATTGTTCTAAGTGTTTTCCGTGTTGGCCCGCCTAGTGACCTGAATGCATGCATGCATGCCCATTGTCGTACCAGTGTTCATCTTCATCTTCGCCGCCACCACCGCCATCGTCATCATCATCGTTAGCGTCATCACCATCATCGTCGTCATGAGGACCACCATTGTCACCATCGCCATGAACAAACGCATCACCATCGTTACCGCCATCATCGTTACCATCGTTCTCATCACCGCCACCATCGCCATCACCGCCATCATCTTCATCACCATCACCACTGCCATTTTCACTCAAACGATCTCGCGCGCCTTTCTTGCTGCAGCGTAGCCTTTCACTCAAATGATCGTGCGCGCGGACCGTATGTCTTGCCAGGCCGAGGCTATCAGCCAGGCGCCAGCAGGCATGTATTCAGATCCCTGGAAGTTGAATTGCCAAGCATCTTCGGCATACTCCAATAGAAAGCGAATGGACAATTGCTGCTGAGGGACACATCGTCTATTGCGCAATGCGTGCGGATTGAGATGATTCGATGTGGAAGTGGACTGAAGCAATGGATTTGTCGCCACACGACGACAGACTCCGCGTTGAGGTCTTCTAGGCCATGTCAGGGGAATCCCACACACGTTCGCCACTCCTTCATTGCAGCTGTTCTTTGCATCTAGCGAGGGCCTGGCACTCGCTCGCACAGGATCATCGTTGTGAGGACAAACTAAAACAGCATGTCGCCAATATTGATTTACACCACTGGTACCATCTGACTCAGGACGACAACTGGTCGGAGTTTTTTGGGGACTGGAAAATACATCTGTCAACCCTGGCGGCGCATACTCAATTTTTCACCAAGACGGATTTCAGTAGTCTCTACGCGTATTCCAATCTCCATATGCAAGGAGCGTCGCATTGGTTGGGCGAAGCACAGCAAAACAAGGAGGCTCTCCTTAAGTGGAGGGGCTCCGTGCCCGAGAGCGTCCTGACCGCGGTCGACGGCTGGAGTGGAGAGGCCGTGCAACCTCTGACGGAATTGCTCCGCCAACACGGGCCAGAACAAGGTGCATTTACGAAAGTTTCTAGGTTCACACACGGGCCAGAACAAGTGCATTTACGAAAGCTTCTAGGTTCAGGCACGGGCCAGACCAAGGCACATTCACGAAAGTTTCTAGGTCCAGGAGCGGCATTGTCAAGAGCACGCAGGGAAACAGCATCGAGCGGGCCACGAGCACTCGTGCCATGTTGTGGAAGGCGGGGGTCCAGGGGTGAGTGGCGCGCGCCTGCCCGAGCCATCGGCCAGGACGGAGCCCAACAATCAGCCACCGCCAGCGCCGGCCAAGGCGATCAGCCAGGAGAGGGCCCAGGGGGCGCAGGCCTGCCTCACCAGACGTCGCGCCCATGAAGTGCGCGCTCGGATCGTGCGCTTGTGAGGAACATGACGGGCAGGCAGTGGATTGCCGCGACGATGTGATTTCGGAGCCCACGGATCATGTCCAGACGAACAATGCGGAGGCCTATGTGGCGGGTGGGACCAGCAGCCCCCAGCGCTTCGCGCCGTTCCAGCCGTCCCTAGCCGCACAGGCCGCCACGGCCGCCGGGGCTGTTCGGGCCGCCTAGGCCACCAGCAGCCACGTCGTCGTCGTCGTTGTCGCCGTCGTCGTCGTGATCGTCATAACCATCACCATCACCACCATCATCACCACCATCATCACCATCATCGCCGTTCCCGTCTCACCGAAAACCACCATCACCATCATCATCACGCCCATCATCACCATCATTGCCACCATCGTCACTTTCCCTGATCATCATCACCGTCATCACAGTCATCATCATCGCCGGCATCGCCGTCAACATCATCACCATCATGCTAATGAAGACGGCGACATATATATATATATATATATATATACATACTACGCACCTGCACGCATGCAAGTTAGTAGTGAAGGTTCAATGAGTAGGGGGTAAAGCTCAACATGCATCAGTTGGGTCGTCATTTACCGTGCTAGAGGCACGGCGGCGGGAAAGGAATACGGCTTTACGAGGATGTCGGGTTCACCAGGCATGCAGGTCATGTGTGCACATTTCAAAGCAAGGAGGATGATGAGAAGCTTGAGGAGGCAGCCCGTATAAACTTGAGGAGGTAGGCTGGGTGATTCGGATGGTGAAGAAGAGCATGGATAAGATGACGGAGGTGATGCTGGCGATGTTGGCAATGCGGATGATGATCATGGTGGTGGTGATGGTGGTGGTGGTGGTGCTCACGGTGGTGTTGTTCATGGTGATGTTGCTGGTGCTGAAGTCCTGGTGGTCGATGAGCAGGGCGTTGATGGTTAAATTGGTCATGATGTTGACGACACTTACGACGAGTATGATGATGGTGTTAGTGGTGATGTGATGTTACTCTTGGCAAGGCCTATTGTGATGTTGGTGAGTGTGTTGATGATGATGCCGGTGGTGCTGATGGTGATGCTGCGTATGCTGATACATACAGGCGAATGTGACTTTATATTGATGATGACGATGATGACGATGATTATGACGATGGTGATGACAATGGTAACGACGGTGATATTGGCGACGATGATGATGGACGATGAGGACGATAGGGACGGTGGTGATGATGGCGATGAAGATGATAGGGATGATGTGATGATGACGATGGTGATATTGTTGTTGATGATGATGGTGATGACCATCATTATCATGCTGATACGGGTGATGCCGACCATGCTGATGATGGTGGCATGTTGATGACGACCATCATCTTGTCGGTGGCATGTTGATGACGATCATGCTCCATGGTGATGCCGAGGATAATGCTTTGGATGATGATGTGGATGATGATGGTGATCATGTTGCGGATTGTGTTGCTGCATATAATGAGGAGGAGGATGTGCCAAAAAGAAAGATGAGGATGCCAAGTTGGGACGATGAGGAGGAAGAGGAGGAGGAGGAGGAGGAGGAGGTCGGTACGACACGTCGCAGGCGCGTGCATCGGCGCGCTGACGATCGTCGCCGACTTCCTCGGGGCCATCGGCAGCGGCACGGGCATCCTGCTCGCGGCGAGCCCTCTCCTCCTCCTCCCCCTCCTCCTCCTCCTCCTCCTTCTCCCCCTCCTCCTCCTCCTCCTCCTCCTCCTCCTCCTCCTCCTCCTCTCCTCCTCCTCTCCTCCCCTCCTCCCTCGTCCTCCTCCCCTCCTCCTCGTCCTCGTCCTCCTCCTCCTCCCTCCTCCCTCCTCCTCTCCTCCGTCGAGGGCCTCGGCGCGCGGAGCGCGCCAGGGGCGGCGCCGGAGGCGCCGCCAGGGGGGCCCCAGCGCCGATCCGAGAAGTCCGCGCGGACCTCCGAGTTGTTATGTTTATGTCACTCTTTGGTCCCCTGGTCCATCAGGAGGGAGAAAGCACACAGACACGAGGAATCGTCGATTCCCCCCGAACATCTGTGGGAACATGTGGGAAGTGGGGGGGGGAAGGCAGAGCCACAGAAGATCTGGGGAGACATGGGGAATCTGGTTGTTTGTGTCTATCAATTTGTGTGTCCCAGTTCCCCTTCAATTCAACACGGAAGCGTCCCGCCGTTTGGTTCCACCGCTGGTTGGATCCAAATGGCCGCCGACCAAAGCTTCATTGAATAGTGTCATGCTTTGGAAACAAGATCATAAACAGAAAGCTCTCGGAGGTCTGGAGGGATCTCTTGCATCGGCGCTGGACCTCCTTGGCGGCGCCTCCGGCGCCGCCTCTGGCGCGGTCCGCGCGCCAGGGAATGGGGGCAAGTGCCGATCCAATAGACCCGCGCGGGCCTCCAAAAGTTCTCGCTTATGCCGATTACGGCTATTGTTGATATTTAATCGCTTCGCTCATTCCGCCGGCCCGTATTGGTGCACGGTTGTCGAGTGCCCGTATGATCGTTGTCAATGGGGTGCTGCTGGGTCGTTCTTTTGTTTATGGATGGCTGGCTTTGGGTGATTTCGCAGGCGGGAACCATTCTGTGCCCGCCTGAACCTTCTGTTTCGGAAGGTGGCGGCCCGTGAATACGACCGCAGGGAAACACAACAACATTCTGCAGTTTCCTTTTTGCATTCTTCGGGCCCCTTGTCGCTTGTTGGTGCCTCTTAGGAGCCTCTTGGGGCGTCCAGGAGGCCTCTGGGAGCGGAAGGCTCGGATTCTCGGTTCGTGGTCTCCATGTTGGGCCCCTCTTGGGGCCCTCTTGGGGTCCTTTTGGACCGTCTTGGGCGCCTCTTGGGCTGTCGTTGGGCTCTCTTGGACGGTCGTGGGTCTCTCTTGGAGGCCTCTTGTGGTGGTCTTGGAGGCTTCTTGGGCCGTCTTGGAGCGTCGGAAAGGCGAAAAGGCGAGGAAGCCCAAAACCTTGACAAACCCAATGGAAATCAATGGTTTCGTCGCTCTGAGGCTTCGTGGACGTTCATTGGGATCTCGTTGGATGCCTCTCTAGGGCTCCTTGGAGACTCTCGGGAGTCGTTGTCGAGCCTCTCCGGGTCTCTTTTGGGCCCCTTGTCGCCTTTTGGGGCCTCTTGGGGGCCTCTTGGAGCCTCCAGGAGGCCTCTTGGAGCGGAAGGCTCGGATTCTCGGTTCGTGGTCTCCATGTTGGGCCCCTCTTGGGGCCCTTTTGGGGTCCTTTTGGACCGTCTTGGGCGCCTCTTGGGCTGTCGTGGGGCTCTCTTGGGCGGTCTTGGGGCTCTCTTGGAGGCCTCTTGGGCCGTCTTGGGGTGGTCTTGGAGGCTTCTTGGGCCGTCTTGGAGCGTCGGAAAGGCGAAACGTCGAGGAAGCCGAAAACCTTGACAAACCCAATGGAAATCAATGGTTTCGGCCTCTTGGGGCTCTCTTGGAAAGGGTTCGGGGCTCTCTTGGGACGTCTTGGAAGCTTCTTGGGCCGTCTTGAGGCCGTGTTGGGCGTCTTGGGCCGATCGTTCGGTGATTCGGAACCCTCTTGGACCGTCTTGGAAGCCTGTTGGGGCCCTCTTGGCGCGCTCCGGGGAGCGTGGAAGGCCGCGCCCAGGAGGAAAACCATGTCTGACCTGAATTTGCCGGGAGTGTCCCGGGACCTTGCTGGGGTAATTTCCGGCCGGGGACCCCCAGGGGCCGCCCCGCGCGCGCAAAGTATAGATTTATTGTTAACCAGTTACCGGAGATCTTAGCACGCCTCTGGCCCGTTGGGCCGGCGAATTCTTTCTCGTTTGCAGATGCTTCAATTTGCCCCTTCATCAGCTTCTCAGGAGGGAAAAACACACAGACACAATGAATCGTCGATCCCCAAGAAAATATTGGAAACTATGGGAAGTGGGGGGGAAGACAACAACCCAGAAAATATGGGAAAATATGTGGAATGATTTTATGTGTGTGTTTTTATTTGTGTGTCTCAGGGCCCCTTCAGCTTCGGGCGTCGTGAAACGCTCCGCCCAAAGGGGAACGCAGGCCTTTCCCCAGGCGGAGGGGATGGGCGCTCTGCTGTGGAGAGTGAAGGATCGCGAAGCTGCGGCAGAGGCCGCGGCTTCCTCCTCCTCTGCTGGCACGTGGTCGCCCGCCACTCATCGGTCAGGCAGGAGGAGAGGGAGGAGGAGGGTGAGGAGGAGGAGGCGGAGGAGGAGGAGGAGGAGGAGGAGGAGGAGGAGGAGGAGGAGGACGATGAGCGGACTGGGAGGCAGAACGGGATGGGTCGACGTGGACATGATGATTCTCTGCGCTGTCGTGGTTGCTGCTGCTCGGCTCGACGCGTGGCACTGCCGATGCGCTCGCGGAGCCACCGTGGCGGCCAGGTCTTCTGCGCGTGCTCGGCCTCGGGGGGGGCCCTGCCTCGCGCTCCGGGGCCCGAGGAGGGACGCCGCCCGGGAGGCAGCTGCGCGCACCATGCGCGACGCTGGCTCTCAGTCGGGCATGCCCCTCTGCAGGAGGAGTGCTCGAGAATGCTCACGACCTGGTCTGTGGACGACGTTTTTCCTGCTCTCTCTTGACCGTTTTTCGGGGTAGCTTTTGGCCGTGTCGTCTGTTTCCTCCAGGATCCGCCTCTAGGGGGACATGCCCGACCTCATCCTGGCTGGAGGCGCCCAAGTGCTCAAGCAGGATTATTCGGCTTCAAGTCATGGGCGCCTTCCTGGCCGTCTCTCCGCAGCCGGTTGCAACACGGCGTCTCTTCTGCAGCCGGTTGCTGGCTCAAGCAGGCTAAGCCAGCGAGCTCACAAGCCTGGGGTAGGCGAGTCCCGGCCAGCCAGCAGCTCCTTCTTGTCACGATTGCTCGAATCGAGCTTTCAGCGGTGCAGCCGGACAGATCATCGGTTTCAAGTCATGGGAGCCTTGTGCACCCTCGTAAAGTTTTGTCTTTGGAGTGCACTCGCGTCGATTAGCGTCTGGTGATGGATGCTTCAGAGTCAATTCAGCGTCGATGAGCGTCGACCCGCGTCGATTCAGCGTCGACTGGCGGCGATCAGCGTCGATCCGCAAGAGCCAGCAAGATGGTATGGGAGGCTCCCATGACCTGCCACCGAAGGATTCGGCAGACGTGCCAAAACTTCGACCCTTCTCGTGGGTCGAGGATCGGATCGAGGAGGAGGATTTGGAGGAGGACGAGGAGGAGGAAGAGGAGGAGGACGAGGAGGAGGAGGAGGAAGAGGAGGAGGACGAGGAGGAGGAGGAGGAGGAGGAGGAGGAGGAGGACGAGGAGGAGGAGGAGGAGGAGGAGGAGGAGGAGGAGGAGGAGCAGGAGAGGACCAGGAGGCGGAACAGGAAGAAGAGGAGGGAGAGGAAACGCGTCGAGGCCGAAAGCGCACAGACGCCGATGCCGTCCCCTCCTTTTTCCGCCTGCCGCGGCCTCCTGGCGGGGGGTCTTCGTCGCCGCGGCTGGGTCCGCCTCGGCATCCAGGTCGGCGTGCAGCACGGGAGAGGTCGGGGAAGTGGCGTTACCCATCGGTCGTTGAAAGTAGGTATTTTTGGATTTCCCGATTCCAGTCTACTTTACGCGTCTTCCTACCTCAACGATCGAGTGTATTCACCTTTTCCCTCTTTAGGGGGCGGGCGGAAACCCAATCTATTTTCAATGCCTTCCTACTTCATGCTTCTACCTACTTTCTCCGACCAGTGGGTACTTGTGCCTTGTTGCTCACCGTTCTCGGGGCTCCAACGCCGCGAAGCAACATGACTGCTGTGCCTTGACGATCCGGAGTCGTGCCAGAAGACCACACCATTTCTTGGCCTTCCACGGCGAATCGCCGTAGCTGTGGCGCCCTCACAGTCCTGAGCCATTCCAAAATGTGGCACGCTGACAAGGAGAATCCGTGTAACGCTTGCACATATTTCAGACGAGTGTGCCCGGCGCTATGGAGAGAGCCACATTTTGAGAAGAAACCGCCCTCAATCCGTGAAGTTCTTGTAAGCTTTAAAACGAATGCGCGCGGCGCTGAGGCGGGAGCCACATTTTGAAAACGAGCCGCCCTCAAACCGTGAAGTTCTTGTAACATGTTGCAGCACATGTGCGCGGCGATGAGGCGAGAGCCACATGTTGAAAACGGCCCGCCCTCAATCCGTGCAAAATGAACGTTTGCGGCGCTAAGGCGAGAGCCAAACGTTGAGACCGACCCGCCCTCAGTCCGTGAAACTCTTGCAAATGTTTGACGCGAGTGTGCGCGGCGCCACGGCAAGAGCCACATGTTGAAAACCACCCGCCCTTGATCTGTGAAGCTGATGACAGTTTTTAAGCTTCATGCGCAGAAGTGGCGAGGAAGACTGAGGCGAAACACCCGCCCGCTGGCCTCGGGGTACGACAGGGAGGAGTTATTCATAAGGAATAGGAAGTGAGGCGGAAGAGAAGGAGGATGCGGAGGAGGAGGAGGAGGAGGGAGTATTCGCGATTCGCGCTTCGCGCCGCGCAGAGGCAACGCGGTTCGCCCTTCGCGCGGTGGGAAGCGCGAAGTCCGACGATTGTGTCTCATGTGTGTGAGTGGAATGGGAGGGCGCTCTCTCTCCGTTCCTCGGGCTTGCCCTGCGTTTTCCTGTCCCTCCTCGCCCCTGCTTGGTCGATGGCCTGCTTGCTCGTTGCGTGACGCCCGACCCCGAGCCAGACCTCGGGGTCGGCTCAGGAGGTCGCCGCGGCGATCGCGGCGGCGACAGATCGGGGCAGGGCTTCTGCCGAGGAGCGCCACCTGCCCTTTCCCGGCCCCGGCCCCTCACCCCCGCCGTGCGGGCGCAGCCCACGACCCACGGCGTCCGGCGACAGAGAGCTGCCGAGGCACGCCCAAGCAGGGGCAGCCACGCCTTCTTTGCTCCGGGGCCAGGCACCCCGCGCCGGGTCGGGCGGGTCTTCCGTCCTGCGGACCTTGGCCTCGCCACCGCCCTCCTGCGGCGCGGCGCCTCGCGCGCGCGCGCCCGGCCGCCGAGCCGCACGGGGGGCGGGTCGGTGGCTTGGCATCTCTCGGACGTGTGCATTTTTTCCTTCGGCGAGGACCATCGAGGAGCATCCTGGATCATTTGGCGAAAAATCCACGCAAGAAACCGAAAAAAGCACAGAGAATGGACGTCCGCGCGATGGCGAGGTTGGCACAGGTCGGGGGCGTCCAGGACGGCCCCTCTGCGGCCTCGGGACCTGGGCCTCCCAGCGGGGGGGGGTCCGAGCAGACGGGGCGGGAGGGCCGTGCCGCAGCGCCGGTGCCTCGGCGAGGCGGCTCGGTGTGTGGAGTCCGATCCTCCCCCGCGCAGACGGCGCCGACGTGCAGCGCCGACGTCGCCGATGCCTCGGCGATGTATCGGAGGTGCGGCGCGACCATCTGCTCCCATCTACTCGGACACTATCCAGGAGGCCTCTACAAGAGCATGCAGGGTCTCTGGCGTGCATCCAAAGGCGTTTCTGCCTTGCGCGCGAAGCTTTCTGCAGGAGCCTTCTGCCCGAGTCGTTCAACACATGCTTATTGACCCGCGCAATAGCTTCAGAAAGCAGGCTTGCACAGAGATGCGCACATGCCCTACAGTTCGTTCAATGAAGGGAATCGCTGTTACGACTTCTTAGGTTCTCCATGTTCGTTCCTTAAGCGCTCTTCGTGCACTAAGGCGCTTTCGTGGTCAAGCAAGGGGTGTCGTTCCTGACTCAGCGTTCCCCACGGTAGCACGATACTTGTAATTCTTACACAAAAGTTGTTGTTCTTGTTGTTGTTATTGGTGAGCTGCTGCTGACGACGACGGAAACGATGAACATGTTATTGCTGCTGATGGTGGTAATGATGATGATATTGATGACGCTGATGACGATGATGATGACGATGATGACGATGCTGATGCTGCTGCTGATGATGATGATGAGGAGGAGGAGGATGCTGTTGATGATGATGCTGATGATGCTGCTGCTGATGATGATGCTGATGATGCTGCTGCTGCTGATGATGATGATGATGGTGATGATGATGATGATGATGATGATGATGATGATGATGATGATGATGACAATGATGATGTGACGGCGTGCGGTTCTATCATTGGCGCCAGTGGAAGCAGCGCCATAATTGTAAAGACCCCAGAGGCTCCGATGGCCCTCCATCCACCCTCGATCCCTCCAGGGGGCGTGCCTCCCCCAAGAAAGAACAACGCCCATGATCCTTCAATGTACTTGTCCCTCCCGCTCGCGCGAGCGTGCGCGTGGGCGGAGGAGGTGGATGAGGAGGAGTTGACGTATACTTTCCCTTATGCCTCGCCTCGCATTCCACCCTCTTCCCCTCCCCTTCTTTGCCCTGCCCGCTCAGCTCCTTCCCCCTCCCTCCTCCCCTGGCTGTCTGATTTCCCGTCGTCGCCACGTCTCACCTCGCCTCAACTGAATCCCCCTTCCCCTCCACTCCCGCGTCCGAGGTGACGATCATCTACCAGTACTTCGAGATGATCTACAAGGACCAGCGCAGATATCGCCATCTACGTTGCAGCGTGATGTTGGCTGGGAAGCGGGGCATGGGCAGTCCAGGGATCATGAATCAAGCTACTGTAGGTTCGCGTCGTGTTTTCTGCGTGTGGCCCCGCCGGCGGCGTTCAACGCTGAGTGCTGGCGGCGGCCCGGAATCGGTCGATGTTGAACGATCGGACGTTCGATAGATTGCCGATCGTTCAAGGTTGAGCGATCCCCGCTGCGTCGGGAACCACCGCCAAAGTCGGCACGACACGAACCTGCCGTAGCCAGCTCGAAAGCGAGCCAGGGGGCCCCGCCTACCTCCCAGCAGCCTCCCCTGCGGGGCGGCATCTTTGGCAGGTCGTCCTCCCGCGCGGAGTGCGCCGCATTCTGGCCACGGCTTCTGCAGAGTGGACCGCAGCACGCCCATGCTGAAACACACAGATTTGTGATTGAGTTTGATGGGTCCGGATGGACAGACAGGCCATCGGCTCATCAGGTGGTCGAG